CTTGGGGCCCGTGGCCCGGCCAGCCGCAGGGCGTGTCAGCCCTGCTGTGCCTGCACTGGCCGTTCCTACAGTGCATGTACAACCAGTCCCAGTATGTACTGGGGCCATATTCTCTGGTTTGCTGGGCATTAAGCAGCCAGCCAGAGCTTGCTTCAGCTGGGCTGTACATCCCAGGCAAGCAGTCAGATTGCTTTTGCTTTCTGTTTCTATGCCAGAACAAAACATTTAGGGGGAAGAGGAACACAGTCACACCTTCTGCTGTTAACAGGAAGAATTAAGGTGTCTTTAGTTACTGAGAAGCGTAAGACGAGCTCCATAAACTACATAAAGGGCTGCTACGAGGCTGGTCAGATAACTGCAGGATTCACGCCCGAGTGGTCTGGTAATGGGCAAATCTCTCTGATGAGCTCCACAGAAATTGTCCCTGTTCGGAGACGGGAGAACTGTTTCTCTACCTGTGTCAGAACAGGAATAGCACAGCACAACGGCTGTGGACACTTGAGCCTCCAGTGACAGAGAAGCGATGCCCCTGTCACTGGGCGAGCCTGCAGCAGGAAGGTCGCTTCGCGTCAGAGCTGGTGCCTTTCTTGCAGTCAATGAGCAATCGCTTCTCCGCTCTGTATCTCTTCCTCCTCGTTGGTAAGAGGTCACAGATACTCCTCTCTGATGGTACTTTGACATTTTTAAATGAAAGGTGCCATGTAACAAGAACTCGTTATTCAATTACACAAATCCTTTATATGTATCAGTTAGCAGCAAAAATTTTATTCTTATTAACAGCTGGAGCTGAGGAACAAATTGCAGATCAAGCGTGATGCTGCAATCGACCAGTTGAAAAATCATACGGAGAGTATGAAGCTGCTAGAACGAGACATCTACGAGATCAACAGGAAACCTGACATTGTGAACACCCAGAACTGCAGATTCAAATTAGTGAGTATATTGAAGCTCGACCGTATGCCTTTTCAGCATGAAGTGCTCTGTTCATCCTTCATTTCAGAGAACCAGCTGTGGAAGATGATGGAACATAAACAGGACAGGGTGAACCTGGCCTTTTAAATTAACCTGTGGGGCTGTGTTTACGTTGGAAGGAAACAAGGAGAAATATCCAAGGGCAAGGCACCTCCCTGAGGCATAATCAATATTTTGTGTAACAACTGCTGTGTTCAGTCAGGGGATTGTAGGAAAAGGCCTTGAGGGTTGGACTAGATGACCCACAGAGATCCCTTCCAACCCCTACCATTCTGTGATTCTGCCTTCCTGCCACATGAAGAGGGCTGACGTGAATGTGAGACGTGCAACAGGCCTGCGCGATTTGGAATATGTGGTTCTGAAAATATTCCTTACACCTTTCAGTCCCTGGGCTATCAGTGTGGTAGAACCTCCTTCCCTGTAAAACACACAAAGGATCCTAAAAGGGGTCTTCTTGCCAGCTGTGACCAGGCTGCCGGCCCGACCCACCTTCGTGGGCTGAACTTCTGAGCCGATCTGAACCCTGTGCGCTGCTGGCTGCCTGCAAGCGCAGAGCTCTGCTGCGGCAAGGGCGGCTGCCTGAGCCGGCGTCTGCTAGCACTGCGGGTGCTGAGTGCCAGCTACTCCGCAGCTCTGTCTGATGACACCCGTGTGGAAACAAAGGCTTCCCTCGGGAGGAAAGCTCTTGGTTACACTGCAGACATCCCTCTCCTTAGGTTCAGCTCGCTAACAGAAGCTGAGCTTTGGTTTTCCTGCTGCGTGTATCGCACCAGGGAAAGCTGTTCATTGTGCCCAGCCTGGGCTGCCTGACACGTTCCAGCCAGAGCTGGGACAGCACGAGCGCGGTACTGGTGGAGCTGGTCCAGCCCGAATGAGCCCGTCCTATTTTGGGGGAGCAAGTGAGGAAGAGTTCCCCTGTTTGTGCACGACCTGCGCTGCTCCAGCTGTTCCCGGTGTCCTCGTGCGTTTTATTTGGTAGCACGGACATCGCTGGCTTGTGTTGATTTTGGCAACTATTAACGATTTGTTCTACGAGATGAAATGGATACTGTTGTTGAAAGAAAGTATGTCCAGAGGAATACATTCACCTTTGTGTTTCCATGAGCTAAAACAGCTTATTCTTCCTCGTCTCTCTAGAAACAGTGAACCTGTTTGGAAGTTGTTTAGGAAATTGTGGCAAGTATTCAGTTGTAATTATTCTTCTCACAGTGCAATGTGTGGATAAAAGAAGATATTTTTGCAATGGATTCTGAAGCAGAAAACCACAAGTCAGCAACAGGCAAAATCCTGAACGACCTAACAGCGCTTCATGGTAACGTGTCAAGAACTATTGCAAAACAAAAAAGGCAACATTTTTTAAGAATATCTTTCAGTCTTTACGCCTTTTTTTTGGCACAGCAATCTACCACATTTTAACTGTGAACTCTGTTGTAGATCTTCTTCTGAAAGCAAGGTCAGAGGAGAGCTTTATTCAAAAGGTGAATTTCAGTTTTCTGTTGTACTGGTTTGCATAAATTTGTTTCACTTACCATGTCAAAAATAAATTTGCATTTTGCAAATAAGGCACTATAATCTTTGAAGTCATACAGGGGCAAAGTATTAAACCTGCATTTTCCAGCATTGTATAAAAGTCCTGGCTATAAAAATAATTTTTCCTGATATTGTGCTTTTTCCTGTCTTACATTCAAGACTTTCTTAAACCTGTACCTGATAACATTCTTGCTGTTCTACATTCAGCTCATCGGCCTTGTAATATTTTTCCAGTTGGAGATGGCCTTCATTTCGAACAGGAATTAAAACAATCTATGATGTAAGAAAGTTTTGCACCAGTTGTTTCATCAGAAAGGCAAACTTTGCTTTTTATATGCAAGGATTGGGTAGTTAAGAAAAAACTTCCAGCAGAGCCACAGGCCTGGTGGTCGGTCAAGCTTTGGGAAAACAAGATAAACAAAAGAAGTTTCTGAACATTTCGTGAGGGTTGAGTTGTTTTTCGTTTTAAGAAAAAATAAATTCTACTCTGTGTCATTACAGGAATTTCTGGAGAAGGAGCAGGAAGTCCTGAACGCAGTGACAGCTCTAACAACAAAAATTCAACGACGAGAGGAAAAGATTGGCGTTATTAACAGCAGGCTACAAAACAAGCTGGAAGGACTGACTTCTCTGTTTGACAAGAAGTTTAGAATAGATCACCACTGTAAGACACACTAAACTTTCTTTTCCACCCTTTTAGATTTTTTTTTTTATAAAACATGTAAATTTGTAGCTGTTTGTAGTGCAGCCATGTTCTGTCTGATCACTCTGCTGCAGACTGAGACCTGGTGGTACATTTATTTGAAGAACTTGGCATGCTTTATAACACAGCCTGGATATTATAAATTTCCACTTTCTGTAGGCTTGTGATAATAATGGTGAGGGGGCTGTAAAATAGCTTGAGCATCACTGATCTTTCCAGAACTGCATGTTTGCTTTTCTACAAAGGATAAATAAAACTAACAGACCCGCAGCTTGTGGGTGTGGTGTTGTCACCGTAGGACTATGTGGTTAAGTAATGTTTATGTTCTCTAGAATTTTATGTGTGGGGAATTTGTGCTGCTGTTTCCATTTAAATGAACAATATTCTGTACTCTTGTCTTGGGGAGGGGGTGATGTCACACAGCGGCCCTAGGTGCATAGGAGCCAGATCACTTGCTCCAGGTCCTCTTTTTAACTCTAATCCTGTAGCTTTCGGCTTTAACTGTTGGTTCATAGAGGTCTTATTTGTAACGAGTCACAGGTCACCGTGTGACTATTGGCTTGTTACAGAACATAGTTCTCAGTCAAACTAAAGCGGAAAGGCTCTGGCATTCAGGCTGCTTCCAAATTTTTGGGTCTGGGTAACGTGACAGAAAGCCAGGGAGAGGAATGACGACTTTACAGAGGAAGGGGATGTCCCTGGAGGGCAGGCAGGCAGAGAGGGGCAGGCTGGTGACTGTGCAGCAGAGAAGAATCTCACGCCAGTGTTATTTTCTGTGTGAAATGTGTGGGACAGGTTTCTGCACAAGGAGCTTTCACAAAAACATTGTTTGGTTGTTCCAAACTGCACATATTTATCCAGCTGTGTCTGCCTAACTCTTTGGCTGGTTATTATTTTGTAGTTTCCATTCCAGGTTTTGCTGAGGGTTGAAGCCCTGGACCCCAGCAGGCAGGTCGGTGTTAGACTACGCCATGCAAGGCACACTGCCATCCTGTAAGCTCTGCTTGTAACCACGTCCCTCTTTCTCCAGCCTTGAAAATTAACATGATTCTCTAGACCTATCGACAGATGTACTCATTACTGCAGCTAATGTTACCTGGGAGTTGTTCCTTTTCTTTTTAAAAACAATATTTAGGCCAACTTTTAAACCCCGTACATGTCCACACATTGCAATGCAAATGGCTGCACTGGCTGCCCACACGCCTCCTGGGCCTGTGCTGATGCAACAGCTGCGCAAACGTAGACACAAAACTGTGTTTAGGACATTTTAAAGAAAAATACGCCTATCACTCTGTCAGCCATGGAAATGGTATTTTCACAATTGAGTTTTAAAACCATACTTTTAGAACTGTCCTCTAAATTCGTGTGCATGCAAATTGCTTTTTATACGTAGCAGTTTAGACGGAATTTGTTGGATTTCCCCAAGGAGATCAAATGCTTCCTCGATCCCTAAATAAAGCCTTACTTCTGTATGCAAGACCGAGTTTGTATGCACGCTGTTTTTAGAAGCAGTAAACCTGTCAAACGGCATTTCACAGAAAAAAGCTGTCAGGAAAGGGGTGTCAGATGTCACAAAATCAAACCTTCTACAGAGAAAGAGGAGAGCGACATCACGAGGCAGCCTGGCTGAGGCGATGCCCCTCAACACCCCTGAGCTGCTGGCAGGCTCTGTCCTTACCGACATTGATGGGTAATAGGATAAAAAAAGTATTACCGTCACACTTAAATATTGAAATATCCACTGTTATTAGCACTGCTACCGCCAAAGATCCATACAGTGGGAAGAGTTGAAGTTGAGATCTTCCCCTTACTCTTCTCTTTTCATTTAGACCTTCAGCACCCCCTGCACCTTCTTCCAGACCCTCTGCAGCGCAAAGTTCCAGGTGGCAAACACAGAGGATGATACACGCTTTGGGTACCTTCCCGTACAGCCCAGAGAGCAGACTCCAGCCTGTCAGCGGGTCTTGGGCCTCACAAGTTTTAGCAGTTGTTATCAAGCTGCTCGCATAAAAATTTTCAGGATGTGGAGCAGAGATAACGTTACCTCTTTATGGAGATAAGGAATCTCCAGTTCTTTTATTAAATCTGTGCTGGTTTTGTACTTCAGTCATTGCAGCTGTTTCTGTCATCACAGTGGTGATCCTGCAGAGACCTTTCCCTCCTCAGCTGCCCGCTGCTGCGGTGCGGGTGCAGCCACGGCCCTGCAGCAGGGGACGTGAGCTGCGGGCACCACCGGCACACGGCACTCCCACAGCACGAAGCTAAGGGCTCTGTGAGGAAAGACGCTTCGCTGGCTTACCTGCAGCCAGGGGTTTTCTGACCAGTACCAGGAAGAGAAAATTTTTAATCTGATTGTAGACGGAAATTGATAGTCAAGGTGTAAGAAAATGGATTTAGTGGGAAGGATATGACTGTTTAATCACCTCCGGAAAAAGGTCTCCATCCATGAAGTACTCAGAGCATAAACTGTATGGAGAACACTTCCTCTCCTACCTAGCAGTCAGACTAAAGCATCATATGGAAGCATGCTCAAAATTTTATTTTTTGATGGAAAGAAGACAAAAGTCTGTTTCCAGTGGTAGGGGATAGAAGCTAGAGAATGTGACGAGAAAACCCAACTCTAGGGTATATTCGAGCTCTATGTGTTTTATTGAAAGTCTACTGAAACGCAGGCTCTATTGTTTTATTCAAACAACACCTAAAATATTGTATTAGGAAATAAACATATACAAGCAAACCGCTGTACTGGAATCTGGCACAAGCTTTTTATGCAGATTCACAGTGATCAATCAACACAAAGACGTTCCCTTTGACCTATACCAGATGATACTTCACAAAGAATACAAAGTGCAGCTTTTTAATACTGTACAGTCTCACTCAGTACATAACTAACTTCTTTTAAAACAGAAGTTTCCAAAGCGTAACAAGCACTAGAATTGCTCGGCCCAGGCTCCTTTCAGTGTCCATTGCCACCTTCTGAGAGTATGCGCGACGGCTCGGTGTACTTCGCTGTCAGCAGGTAGAAGAGGGCAGGTGCCGGTACCAAGGCAAGCAGTGGCAGGTCCTGCTCAAGCTTATCCAGTTTGGAAATGGAGATGATTCCATAGGCATGAAGCAACCAGTGGCTGAACAGGACAACAAGTCTTTTCTTCCTGACGAGAAGATCCTTGAAAGTCTTGCAAAACAAACACAGCACCCTGTTAGCACCCAGCCCGTTACCTAGCACCCGATGTTTGAGATGTCACAGGTCGGGCACAGAGACTGCGCGAGGCCTCCAGGGCTGGAGCCCTCCCTGCACGTAACGCACTTTCTCAGCGCACTGCAAGAGGAAAGTCTCGCAGGAGCTTTCTCCAGTCAGGAGGAGAAGTCATAAAGGACCAGGCTTAAACGCAGAACACGCGGCTGAGAAAAGGCAAGAGACAAAGTGGTCTCTGCTCATTCAAGTATTTTATATTACGAGTTTTAACACAGAGAACACGTTTACGTACCTCCACTTCAGAAGCAGACATGTACACAGCCAGTGTCACCAAAGACAGTACCAGTATGATGTAAGGGAAGGCATAGTCTGGAGGCAAACATTGAACGTGTTAGCAGGAAAAAGAACGCATGATACACACGGAGATTGTTGTTGCACACACATCCACGGGTGTGAAGTAAACTACTACAGCCTGCCTCTCATCCTCACACCAAACACATACAGCTGTGAGGGTCAGCTACGCACAACTACTCAACACTTCAGTCTCAGGTTTTCTGATATTTCTAGGTGGAGTTACTTAAATCACTACCCGACAAAGGCAGATAACAAGAAAAGCAGCCAGGCTGAGCGGGGATTTGGTGGCACCATATGACAAGTACGTCCCCACCATATGACAAGTACGCTGAGAGCTAAACAAAAATAGCTGATCTCCCCAAACTTAAACGTCAACCCAGCTCTGAAATCAGACAAAATCAGCTTTAGCAGAAAGTGGAATCAGCTCCCTCTGAAGCAGTTTCCTCTCATACCCCCTCCATTCACTTTCTGGGCACAGGACAGCCTCAGGCAGCACAGACAGAGGTGAAGCCGTGTTGGTTAGGACAGGGCTACTAACGAGGAACCTTTTCAGATAAGGCTACTCACAATAACCTTAAACGATATCCTTATTCTCAAAGCAAACGAAGCGTCATGCCCCTTCCTTCCCTCCCTCCCTCCCAGAAGCCACTTCTTAGCACGTGTTTGTAGATATGTTTATTAGTTAATGATATGTTTATTAGTTTATTTTATGTTATTTATATCAGGAGACAACTCACAGAGCAGGCCTCCTCCAACGGCCTGAAGCACGGTGAGGACAGGGAAGAAGTACAGTGCTGCGTAAATGCTTTTAAACCGGTCAGACTTTCCTAAACCACAGGCAATCTTCTTGACCAGCAGAGGCCGAAGTAGCATCATTAACACAAGACAGAAGGCATAATATATAAACACAATGGTGTACCTGGAAAAAAAAAAAGAAAAATTCCTTAAAACTTGCAGTTCTTTTTCTCCTGCAGACTCAACTCAGAACCAGGGAACGTGAGGCTAGAGTCAGCCAAGTCTAAAGAATTGACAGTCAAAGGACCTAAACACAGAACGATGGGCTCGCTTTTCCTAGGGGAAACAGTCAAAATGTAGCAAAGGGGGAAAGGAAAAAAAAGTCTTACACTTCATAGCTAAATAGCCTGGACTATGCCACCTTCTTTGCTGACTCCGAAAGCCATCAGGTGTTGCAAAGCATTTCCTGCATAAAGCAGCTCAGTGCCTGAGACTTCAGTGGATTGACACTCACTGCTCCGTGTCGTATCTGAACGCTTTTTGAGAAAAGGCATGGACAGAAACACGCTTGTGTAAGAGGGAGGGACAGACAGGAGCACAAAAGCCCTCGCACTCACAGGGGATAGACTGCTTCATGAGTGCAGTGCACTGTGGTGACGTAGTCGGGGCTCGGGTTGTAGAGCATCGTGTACCAGTCCGAGAGCTTCTTCACCTTGCAGGAGCGGATGTACAGAGAGCCGACAGGGTCACTGACGAGCAGCGTAACAACGGCCGCGACGCTGCACTCCAACGAGGCAGTGATGTGCTGCAGCAATGCGCTGGAACTGTGGAAGGAGATATTTTGCCAACTCTATAGGAAACCCAACCACCGACTGAGAAGTGGAGGTCCACGCACTGCAGAACCTTCTGCAGAGTTAATATTCACCGTGACCCAAGGTTAGGACAGCTCCGCTTGACTGAAAAGTATTTGGAGGTGAATGTGAAAACTCATTTACAATCTCAGATCATTTAGTGTGCAAAATGTGACTGAATGACATTCCAGGGGAGGGCGGGGGTTAACAGAGAGCATCTGCCACTCAGCTTATTGCCGCCCTGCTCTAACAGCGACACGTCTTAAAGGAAAGCTTGCTGTAGCAGCGGCACCCTGTCAGGTGAGGGACAACAACACTCAATGCTGCAGCTTCACAGAAAGGAGCAGCGAGGAGCAGACACCGCACGTCTCAGAAGGGATAACATTGTTACATTTAAGCAAAATTTTCACAGCTGCAAGTTCTTGTTAAAGATGGTATATATTCATACGTTAAACTCTGTTTGTCCTCTATGTTTTCAGTGTTTGGTGCACTCCAGAGTCATCACTTCTTAAAAGTTCCAGCCCAGCACCTAACAGCTACACACAGCTGTGGTTTTAAACCTCTTTTTTACAGGTTGACGCTCCCTGCTGACGTAAAGGTTACACCAGGTGTGCTGCCTGGACCAAAACCCAGCATACACATTCCTACAGAGAAAACTCAAACCCATCCTCCCGCTGCAAGCACACAGCAGCACTGATCTGCGGGTGGTAGGTTTGGCCCAGGAGAGGGGGGATGGCACGTTCTCACCCACTACGGGGAAACCCAGCCCAGCCCCAACTGCCAGACGGAGGACTGGGCACCGCCACATTAAAGAGACACAGACCACGCCCTGAGGGCAGGGACTGGCAAGAAGGACCTGCAGGGCTCGTACCTTTGTAAATAAACCCCCCTCAAGCTGCCCAAAGCTCACGTGCTACCGTATCAGCTCAACCAACAGCACAGACCACTGCACAGCTCAGTTCAGCATCTTACACTGATCACTCGTGGACACGAGATCCCCATTTTTAAATAACTTATCTGAAGAAGGGGCACACAAACCTCTTTTTTCCTGAATACCATTCAATAAAGAACCAGTGTAAAACCAGGGGCAGCATGGCCATGAAGCCGAGGTACAGCCAGTCATAGCGGTCCGGAGATCCCACGCATTCCCGGCAGATTTTGTTGTCATCGGTTCTTTGGCCTCTAGGGCACACCTACGAAGAGCAGAGACTGTATTGACAAAGCAGCCGAGTACAAACAACAAATCCTCGTGGTTCTGGACAAACAGTTTGAAGTAGTACTGGGGCAAGAAATCTATCAGATTTTTAAAGAGACAAAACATTAGCCGCAGCGATTTCTCAGCTCACACTGGCCTTGCTCTCTCTGGCTCTTGTTTCTTAATACAAAAAAGGTGAAGCACGTTTAAAAGGCTTCATGCAAGACTCCCTTCTCCTCTCCCGCTGTCACACCACCTCCCTTCCAGCGCTAAGCTCTCCCGCCAGGCTGCTCACCACCGCTGCCCCAGAGCTGCTCGCTCATCATTAGTCCACCCTCCCCGGACCTTCGGTAACATCAGTGGGCAGAGAGATTTCAGCAGAGCTCTCCGCATCATCCCGTTCTCTTCCCGCTT